GGGGGAAGGAAGGGAGAGAGAGGGAGGGAGGGTGTGGTGGTAGGGGAGGGGGAATGGGAGGTGGGAAAGGTGCTGATTTCAGCCCTGTAGCGTCAGGATTGCGTCAATTTGGGTTTCAACCACGTCTTCAGGCTCCGAGCTGAGCTACTCAAAAGAGCCAAAACAGGAAGGGAGTTGCAAATCAGTGTGCCAAGGGGAGGAACGAAGCTTTACCTCCCCCCTCTCCTCCAGCGCCCTTGCAGCCTCCTCCTCCACCTTCTCCTGCTCGTGTGTCTCCGGGTTGGTTTTGCTTGTTTGTTTTCTTAAAAAAAACCAACAAAAACACGCTGGAAAAGACGGTTGCCCGGGAGCTGTGAGAGCGGAGAACCGGGAGACAGCAGCTCAGCGCGTTCGGGGCCCCAGTCAGGTCGTTCGGTACCCGGGTTGGCGGCCTCCCGCTTCCCGGACGGCGGCTCAAGCACGGCGGACAGCGGCTCCACGCTTCCGGGACGGCGGCTCAAGCACGGCGGACAGCGGCTCCAGGACCTCGGACAGCGCACGTCTCCAACATGGCTCAGATCGCGGCCAGCCGGCAGCAGTTCGATAAGCGCGTCCCGGCCCCAACTCCCCGCCCGCGGGGATGGGGGCTGCTCCCCTTCCCAGGCGAAGTGCACGCAGGCAACCTCCGCTGAGCTTCCCAGCACACAGCTTTTTGGGAGGAACCTGATTTCTCCCAGTTCTCTTCGATCTTAGAAGTTGCGTGAATTTGCTTTCTCTCCCTTCTCTGTCTCTCTTCCTTCCTCCCCATCTGCTCCCCCCGGTAAAGCACTGTGAGAAATAAGGAGGTTTGTGTATGTGCGTTTTCAGATGAGAGAGGTTTTGGGATTGTTTTCTCTGTCTTGGTTAAAGTAGCACGACTTCAGAGTTAAAAAAAAGTTTCAGAAACAGTCATATATATGCACTTATAAAATAGGTACATAAATAGCTTTGAAAAGCAGTAAGGAGAAATGTTTCTGAACTCTGCTTTACAAAGATTGACTCTAGCCTAGATTATATTTGTTTTAGTGGTGGTTTAATTCAAGGATCATTCCACTGACTTAGATGAAGTGACTCCAGATTTACATCACGTAACTGAAATAATAACTTCTCCCAGGACCAATAGGTAATGTTTCCTATTAATACACTGCCTTGAATGTTAACCAATTGATTTACATTATGACAACAGCAAAAATTTCAGGTTGCAACATAATTAGTTGTAAATATAAAACCATTTTTGTTACCATTTCATCTTCTTTCCTACCCCACCCACTTGATGTTTCTAACCCCATTTGTGACATCATGCTTATCTAATTACTTATTTAAGGAAGATAATTAATATTTTAAACAACAAATTGATTCTACCGCTGCTTTCAGTAGTTGTAGGATTAAAAATATAGCATAATTTTCATTACTATAAAAAGTCTGTCATCTCATGAAAAGTATTTTAAATGTGCAAATGATTCTTAGAAGCTATTAAAGTATTCTGATTAGTTTTCAATTACTCCTTGCTTTGTACCTTTATACCATGTATATTTAAATTTCTGCAGCCCAGGGAATTCTTGAAACTAAAAGCCACATGCTTAACTTTGAAAACATACTTTTTGGTTATGTATATAATTTTCAGTCATTTCATGAAGTTCTTACAATTAAGTATGTACACTGATACAGCTTGTAGGCAAAGGGAAAGTGACATGAATATTATCAGAAGAAATTAATAGCCAGGCCTAATCCTTTTTGTGCTGGAACATTCTGTCCTACTTTGCTCTGATAGTATTGTTATAGTATTATTTTTTTTTTAATTATCCCACTAAAAAGGAAAGGTATAGTGGCAGGACATCTATCTGCCAAGCTTTTACCTGGATGAAGCTGATTTAGTAATACATAGAGGGGGATTGTTATGCTTTTCTCATCCAGAATGATCTGCTAATCATTTGCGAGAGAACCAGAACTGTTACACAATTGCCTTTATGCATAAACAATGTCATTCCTTTAATATTCTACTGGTCTTCCACTGTTGCTGGGAATAAAGATTAAGCTCTGATTGTTACATTGTGGGAGGTTTAAACTCACTTGGTAATGTTACTTATGGGCAAAATTGGATTTCCAATTAGTTGTGCTCATTTGCCCCTTCAATGCATGCTTTGAAGGGCTAATGATACTCTATATGTAACTAATGTATCCACATGACAATTGAATTTGTAACAGTTGCTCAGTTTTCTCTTTATTCAGTCTAAGTATAGGATTCATATTAAAGTAGAAGAGAATTATGTTTTAATGTTTTTCTTATATACTCCTAAAAAGTAGTGACCCTTCCTGTAAACTCCCCATAGCTTTGATGCACAGTGTCTTAAATGCAAAGCTTAGTGGTTATCAGTGATACACTTCATAGTTTTTTCAGCTTTGGACTCACATGTGACTACCCAATGTCACATCCATCTGGAAAAGACACTTAATATAATATATATAAAATATATATAATTATTATAATTATTCTAAATTTTCTTGATAGACTTCTGCTTGCAAAGTATTGAAAATCCCATTGAAACTGTTGAGTGTTATAACCTCCAATTAAACTCAGTTCTTTCAAGGGATACCTCCAGGCAATTATGGGATCAGACCATAAAAAATGAGTTAATTGAGTATACAAAGTATTCTAGGAAGCAGTGTGTAAAGCAGACGATGTATCTATTAGTAATGCATATTTCAAAATCTCTTTTATGTAACCAACTCAACTTATGGAGTTACTTTATGTAACTCCATAAACTCAAAGTTGAAACCTTCTGAGAGCTGGTATTACTCACAGACATATAAGCTCAGAAACTACACACAGAGGGATGAGATAGTCGAGCAACTACTAATGGTTATTACTATTAGGATGGGAATAGTATTTTCCTCCCAAACACTCCGTGTATGGAAAATTTTATGGAATCCCCTATAGCCAAATTCAAGACTTAACACTTCACTTTATGATCCTGAGCTTTGACAGGTTTTCCAGAGATGATGTCATTGGAGAAGTCCTCATTCCCCTTGCAGGAATTGAATTGTCAGAAGGAAGGTTGCTAATGGATAGAGAGATCATCAAAAGAAATGTTAGGGTAACATTTTTTATTTAAACTTTAAAAGTGTTGTGCTGGTGTTAGCTATAATTCTTGTGTAATGCTGCTAGCATCATGGAAAGAAAAGGGAACAAGTTCATCATGCAAGTCATTGAGATGCTTTCACAATGGCAGTATGAGGGTGCAATTACACAAATGTAATAAAAGAACATTACAATGAGCATGTTGCAAGAAATTGCTAATGCCCTAAACTCTACTTGCTTATTCAGCTGGTCCAGCAGGTTTGAGTGGACCCATTTACATTAGGTCAAGTGGCCTCAGTCCTCATAAATTTGCTTTAAAAGGAAAGAATGCAAAGATTTATATTATTCCCCTTCTCCCTCTCCTTTTCTGTTTGAAATCATTCTTTCTTAAAGCTTATTGAGGTCAATGTAAATCTTTCACTTCAACTACGTGTTTTTTATAGCAGGTTCTTAAAGAATGCGATGTAGTCTTTAGTTAAGGAATTGGAACCTGTTAGAGAACGTATTGTTGATGCAGTAGTATGTTCTTGCACTTCAGTGCTGTTACTCTCTCAAGAATTGTGACACAGGCTGCAGCCCTAAGGATAGTAAGACATGAGGGAGAAGCCAAAGCCTTACTGAAGTCAATGGCAAAACATACCAACTTCACTGGGCTAAAACTATTTCATACCGTTTTGTCTCATTTCGGAACATAAAGATCATTTACAACCATCACAGCTGAACCACAGAAATGCACATGCATCACACACAAGTCTCTTAACCTCTACTAAGGAAGTGGAATATGTATTGACTTTCAATTTCATTGTTTTCAAAGAGCAAGCATGCTGCCAAATCAAATAAATGTCTACCAGACAACATACCTGTAACTAATATTGTTATTTTGCAATTCTATTGCTATATTACAACAACTATAACTATGTCACTGATATTTTGTTGATAACTTACTGGGTTTTCTGGTATATAAGGTATTATTTTTGCTTGTTTCTCTTGCCTTCCTCCTCTCTGTGAAATAAACTACTTCTGCAAATTCAAATCTAATAATCATAGAGAAAGTCTTTGATCTCATCTTTATTTCATGTATATTATACTACTTCAGAAAGCGTCAGAGAGAAGTTTTCTCTAACTGTTTGAATACTTCCTGTTTAAAAATATTTTACTGAAGATTTTTTAAATTTGCCTTTAATATTTTTTTTTCAATATATTTTTACGGATTTTTTGTTTTGCTTGAGATCTTTTTCTTTCACTGAGATTTTTTTCTCAGGATCTGGGATTTCATTTCTAATCTCTGATGCTAATAATGTCATGTCAACCTATATTTTGACTTATTATTTATTTTTGTTCAGTATAATAACCAACCATAAGAAGAGTTATATAACTACAATAGAGGGAAATTATATTTACTATGTTAAGCAGCATAGCTCCATAAGTTATATCCTTTTACACCATTTCAGATCATACAGTTATGTGGCATTTTATAAATCTTCTTAATTCTGGTTTAAAGCTTGGTCAGTATAATTGCTTATAAATAGTCTTATTCCTTTTTTTCTTTCATTTCCTCAGAAATCATCTGGGCGTGGAGAATTACTGATCTCTCTCTGTTATCAGTCTATGACAAACACGCTCACTGTGGTTGTTCTAAAAGCCAGGCATCTACCTAAATCTGATGTGTCAGGATTATCAGGTAATGTCTTTACTAATGAATATGCCCTAAGAATATAAAACAGACAGAAGACAGCTGAAATGTGGCATTTCAAAGACTAAAAATAGTACATAAATGCAGAAATGGTGACTCTGTTATTTACAGCCTATTAATTTTATTCATATCTAGGTCAATGCTTTATTTCCCAGAGCATGTATTTTACAAATTTATTTTTCAATCACATGTTAAAAAAACATGACATCTGTTAGCAGTGGAAACGAATGAGTTTTGTGATTGTCTTGAACAGAACCCATCTGCCATAAGTATGGGATGTTGTTTGCAGATACTAAAAGCTTTTATTTATGACAAAAAATTGGTTTATTTATAGAAGATCAGTATTGACTGAGATCATCGTATGGTTTATTTCAGCTGAGCACCAAGAAAAGCAACCAGTTACGTCTGTGCTGAATTTGGCCCACTGAGCACTAACATTTCTTTGGCAAGGTGAAAAGGTGAACTATGCCCATGCTGGAAGCAGGTTGTAACATAACACCCGTGCTTTATCATGAGCTGTACTTGGGGTGCACTAAGAAGGAGCAGTTTTTGCACTCCCTTCTCCTGGCCTTGTGCTATTTTGCATTCCGTGGAACCTCATTTGAAGCCAATACTAGAACTGCACTTAGATGCACATTAATGCTGTATAACATAATAACAGAATAAAATTTAATGTACAATATACAAATAAGACAAGCACACAAAAAGAACAGTACACAACAAAGGACTATACATACAGTAGCACATCTGCTGTTGATTATCGAAATGACGCTCTTTCATTTCACAGGATTTTTAAAAAGAAACAGAAGAGGAAGTAGTTTTGGGAACCACTGAATCATAATTACTACAGCCAATAATACAGTCTTTCTACTTCTCATACCAAGAAATACAGCAATTTACCTTGAAAGTTAACCCATCCTAGATCCAACAACAAAAAAAAAGCTATAGATAACTCCTGTTTACAGGGTGGAGTTCCATTGAAATCTTCCTTCTGATCTCAATTTTATTCTCATATCATAAGGAGAGAGGATATAAATGGAGCCCAACAGTTTACTCCACTATAAGAGAGCATGCATACTTTTAATAATCAACTCCAAAGTCACAGCAGATAGTAGAGGTTTCATAAAGACAGCATGACAGCAAGCTGATCTCAACAGACCAAGTCTGCCTGAGGTTCACCCAGGTGGGAAAATAACTTGAAAACAAAAGCCCTCCTAGTCTCAGCAGCCACCTGGACCCTATAGCACATCCAAACTACACATGTATTTACTGTATCTCTTATGAGTAAAACTGTAAATTCTATCTGCTATTTCCACTTCCCTCAGTACAACCTTGATAACTGTAAGAGTAATATAACATTTCTAAGCAATACAGGCAGCCATGCTTCACCTGGACACCTAGTTCATTTAGACAGTTCTTCATGATTTGCTGTTCATCAGCATGGCCAGGTTCAATAGATATTTGGGTGTCAGTAACATACTGCACTCACGACAGTCCTTATTTCCTCTGTGACTTGGACAAGAAGGAGGGTGAAATGGTGTTTCTATGGGATCAGCTAAACAATTGCATAACTCAATCGCCATAGGAAGATGGAGACTTTATTACTCAGAAGCTGTTCCATTCCCACAACCTCCTTGGTTTCCTTGATCACTGGTGTTGAGGTCTCCTAATAGACCTAATAAAATCAAGAGGAACATTCTGGCCTTATCTAGTAGATGGCCAGAAATAACAGTCAGAAAAAGTCCTTTAAACAGAAATGAGCAACAGTGTGAATCCACTGATGGATATTGATCCTGATATTTTGAATGCTTGTGTGGCATATAGTAATTCCAAAGCCAATGAACATTTTAATAACATTAAACCCTATTTTTAAAATGTTTATTATGGTGATAGAGTATGAAAGTGAAGATGTATTCTGTCATACCTTTGTCCTATCAAACTAGTGTCAGTTCAAGGAAACAAAAACCTTTTCATCATCCAACCATTTCAGTCTGATAAGTTTGGCATAGCATTTCTAAATACGGCTCAGTTTTAATTTTACTTTTTAAAAAAAGTCTTCAACTATTCTTGATGTTTATTAGCTGATTGTTTACATAGGCTATCTTGTTTGACTGGGTTTAGTAGAAAGGATTTTGTACTGCATCTTTGCACCATGAGAATTTGGAAACAGGCTCACATTTACACTGAAATAAATGACAAGGTACTTGAAAGGGATGATTTTTAAAGCGTTCTCTAAAATTCCCCTGAAGGAAGAAATAGCGCCATTGTTGAAGACTATAGCAAAGTAATATTGCAACAGTTGAATAATTATGAGGAATGCAAACACTCAGAGTTGGTTGACAGCTAAAAATATAGACGTTTTCCCTTCCCTTCTTCAATAGTAGTACAGTACAGACATAAAGTCAAGTACATATCCTAACAACAAATGTACCCTTACATTTAAAGTTTAGTGTTAAATTTGTTTAATAAAAGTTGGTGGGAGCAATTTAATCAAGCTAATTGACTTTGGTAGAACCACAACAGAAATGAATCGCGTCCATTCATCCATTCTCTCAGCATGAGCTTTCCTTTCTGAAGCTTTTCTTTGCATGAGTCTTACTAACACTAATGATTATCCCCTACTGGTAGAACACATGAAAAACAGATTTCTGTTTCACATAAATATGTAATGATACATATTTTTCAGAGTCCATTAGAATTTTGTTTACTTTCAGACCATCATTGCATGTAGTAAAGATGCTATTAGGTTTAATGGACCACAGGGTGGGATTTATGTCATGGAGACACCTGTATTTGGTCAGATTAATCATGCCTTAAACTTCACTGACTATCTTGATTACATGTTTGGTGATCATAAAGAGAGATTAAAGAGACTAATTCAGATGTAAACACAAACATTGGATGAGATGAATCATCTTTAATAACTTGAAACATCTCTTCATTGTGATGTAATTATGTTCATAAGTTATAAAATTTACCATTAACTGGATCAAGGAATTTCTGAATGACACTGTTCAATAACTGATCTGAGCTCTTTCTTTTCATTGCAGACCCTTACGTCAAAGTGAACCTGTACCATGCTAAGAAGAGAATTTCTAAAAAGAAAACCCATGTGAAGAAATGCACCCCTAATGCAGTGTTGAATGAATTGTTTGTCTTTGACATTCCTTGTGAGGGCCTTGATGATATCAGCATTGAATTTTTGGTTTTAGATTCAGACAGGGGGTCAAGGAATGAGGTCATTGGCTGGTTAACCTTGGGATCTTCAGCAGAAGGAACAGGTGGAGAGCACTGGAAAGAAATTTGTGAATATCCTAGGAGACAAATTGCTAAATGGCATATGTTGTGTGAAGGTTAGCAGCTTAGAGAGGGGTCAGAACTTGAAAAACTATATATATTTCCATCGGCAAGGAGCAGTTTTCTTTCTTTGCTATGTATAATTACAGGTTTGTAACTACAAGACTTTTTTTTGAGGGGGTGGGGAAATAAAAACTGGATTAAATTATCAGAACAGAAGGTAACTAAATTTTCACAGTAAATAAAGGAATTTCTGTTTCATTAGACTTTAACATAATTGGATGAGATTCATATTCTTCTGGAGTTTAAATAGCCTGAAACTTCTGAAGCAGTATAAACTTCAATAAGAACAGAGTAAGTTTTATGAAAAAGTCAGTGGAAACCTTATTAGTACTGTTGTAAAGAAGAAGATAACCTCATTAAAATATATTGCTAGATCTAGAAAAAAGCACCTGTGGCCTACTGGGGGAAGGGGCTGAGTCTGTAAAAGCCACGGGGAATGAGGATGAGTAGGAGGGGAATTCCTTCTGCCCCTCCATCAAAAACCTTCTTTTATGAAAATTCAATCATTATTTGTAAGTTTTAGTTACTTATACTTTGATCACCCCAAAGACTGAAGAAATTTTCAGCAATTTGCTTTACATATCACATCATGTGCAACTAGTTGGTTTATGTGTGGAAATACTGTATAATTATTTAAACTTGGATTTTTTAATATGTGTATATATAACTTGTTTTATTACAGTGACCAAAATAGATACATTCTACAAATCATTGAGCAAGTTAACATACATTGTTTTGTTAAAAGGGCTCCTTTACGGGTGACTGCACATGTTATAGTATAGCTAGAATTTGGGATTAGATATGGCTTGTGGTTTTTTTCCTCTAGCAAGGATTACACTTTAAGCATTTCAAGCCATGAGAAAGAATTTCTATTGAGATATGGTAACATACATGACATTACAGTCAATGACCTTTCACCAATTATATTTTAAGCCTTTCAGTAATACTTAAAGAAAAGTTGTTTCTTTTGTTTCATTAAAGAACAAACAAAATAGTGAGACAGAGAACAAAACCTTATTCTGCTGCTTAACTTCCTGAACTGTGAGTAATGCCATTACAGTCAGTAAGGCTACTCCCAACATACAAAGTTTAATGTATTTTAAACTTTTGCAGAATAGGAAAACAAGCTCATATTATAATTTATCCAATATTATGTTAGACAAACTACTTGAAAAGTGCATTTCACTTAGATTATATGCATTAATGTCCATTACTGATTGTATTGAAAATGGGTGGTGGTAAGGGAAAATAACATTTTGATTTCGTGTTATGGGACATATGTATGTTTAAATTTAAACTGTGCCAGGATGGGGCAGTATCAAGTGTAACATAAACAAGTATATAAATAAAGCATTTAGACCTGTGAAATTTACTCTTGGTCACACCAGATAGATTTTTAAGCTGTTAGAAGTATAGCACAACTAGAAGCAGATAATTTCCTAAAGTTTGTACACTGATTTCTAATACAGAATTGTTTGCAAATATTAGTCTTACATCATTTTCAATTACAATATATATAAAGAAGAATATAATGATGTTAGTTATTGACATAAGAAGGATTTAAAAAGTGGAAAACCATTTTCAATATTTTTGCATATGTCATTTTGTCAAACGTAATCCCACTGAAGTGAATGAGACTATTTGGTAGTTAAGGTATTGCTCAATGCGAATAAAGGTAACAGAATGGGCATGCCAGGTAAAAAAGCATTCATTGGATGTCAAATTATTTTCATTAAACAACAGATCCAGGTCTTATTCAAAACTGTTGGAGATTTGTTGTCGACTTTACCTGTTCTCATATGGCCAAATTGTGTTTGCAGTAAAGGACACTGAAATATGAAATATGCAGGTAGACAAATAGTACTGGAAGAATTCTATTGAGGGTCTTCCAGGTTTTGTGCCAGTATTTTCTCCAGTTTTTGAGAATGTGTTTGATATAACAGTGTTTATAAGGCTCTGTAAAAATACATTTTCAAAATAACATAAACATGCTTTTTATCATAATGCTCAATGTAAAAAACCTGCGTATTATATGTATAAAGGAGAGGAATCTTTTTTGCTTATTTCTTTAGAAAGCTGATTAACTGCTTAAGGGCTAGAGTTTGCCAGCCACATTCAAGCAGAGCTAATCCAAAGCAACCAAGGTGAAGGAAAGATACCCACAGGCTTCAGTGGGGTTTGAAGTGCAATCACAAAGTAAGTCGTCTTGTGAATCAACCCAGCAATATCAATGGGACCATGGATAAGGAGAGACACGGTTTGATCTAATGGAGGCTGGGAGAGTTTAAGTCATTACCACACAATCAGAGTTGTTACAATTTCTAGTAAGGAAAAAACTTTACACTGAAAGTGATTGCATGAAAGGGAGTGGGACAGCTTGCAATTAAAAGATTGAAGTTACAAAACAATATACAAATATTGGACCATAAGTAGTATGTTATCTCTACAAATGAGATGACAGGAGTCAATGCCTCCAATGGACACAAAATCTGACATTAGGAGAAAAAAATACACCTTTTTGAATTAACAATGGGCTGTGAACATCTTTCATTTTGCATCCAACAAGTCATCATCAATTATTTTTTCAAATTACTATAACAGCTTGAGCATTACTATTTCTACCAGCTAAATGGCAGTTGTTGTTGGGGTAGGGGGTAGGAATGGGAAAGGGAAGCAAAGACACTTTTATTAAATCTAAAAAAATCCTGTAAATGCAATTTTGGTTTTCTTTTAAAGCAATGTTGGACATGGGACATTGTTGGACATTGTTGGACAGTGGACAAGGGAAGATCAACAGATGTCATCTACCTGGACTTGTGCAAAGCGTTTGACACCATCCCACATGATATCCTGGTCTCTAAATTGAAGAGACATGGATTTGACAAATGGACCACTCGGTGGATAAAGAACTGGCTTGACGGTCGCACTCAAAGAGTGCAGTCAAGGGCTCATTGTCCAAGTGGAGAGAAGTGACGAGTGGTGTTCCTCAGGGGTCGGTACCGGGACCTGTACTATTCAACATCTTTGTTGCGGACATGGACAGTGGGGTCGAGTGCACCCTCAGCAAGTTTGCCGATGATACCAAGCTGTTTGGTGAGGTAGACACGCTGGAGGGAAGGGATGCCATCCAGAGGGACCTGGACAGGCTGGAGAGGTGGGCCCAAGCCAACCTCATGCAGTTCAACAAGGCCAAGTGCAAGGTCCTAGGGGCAACCCCTGGCATCAATACGTGCTGGGGGGTGAAGGGATTGAGAGCTGCCCTGCCGAAAAAGACTTGGGGGTACTGGTGGATGAAAAGCTGGACATCAGCCAGCAACGTGCACACACAGCCCAGAAAGCCAACCGTATCCTGAGCTGCATCAGAAATAGTGTGGCCAGCAGGTCAAGGGAAGTGATTCTGCCCCTCTACTCCACTCTCGTGAGACCCCACCTGGAATACTGCATCCAGCTCTGGAGTCCTCAACATAAGAAGGACATGGACCTGCTGGAGCGTGTCCAGAGGAGAGCCACGAGGATGATCCGAGGGCTGGAGCCCCTCTCCTATGAGGAGAGGCTGAGAGAGTTGGGGCTGTTCAGCCTGGAGAAGAGAAGGCTTCAGGGAGACCTTATATCAGCCTTCCAGTACCTAAAGGGGGCCTACAGGAGAGCTGGGGAAGGACTTTTTACTAGGGCATGTAGTGACAGGACGAGGGGGAATGGATATAAACTAGAAGAGGGCAGGTTTAGATTAAACATTAGTAAGAAGTTTTTCACTGTGAGGGTGGTAAGGCACTGGAACAGGTTGCCCAGAGAGGTTGTTGAGGCTCCATCCCTGGAGGTGTTCAAGGCCAGGCTGGACATGGCCTTGGGCAACCTGGTCTAGTTGGAGGTGTCCCTGCCTATGGCAGGGAGGTTGAAACTCGATGATCTTTAAGGTCCTTTCCAACCTAAACCATTCTATGATTCTATGATTCTATGAATGTTCAGCTTGGAAAGCTGAGTAAAGATGACTTGTAACACATCTGTAAACCAGACAAGGCAGGAGGGAATGTAGACCTGTACCAAGATGAGAAATTCTGCTGTTTTATAAAGTATTCAATTCTCATTGTGAATATCTTGAACTCTGTTAAGGATACTGTATGGTAAAAAAATGATGTTTGTCTAAGTAGTTTACAAAAATTGTAACTCCTTGAATGGGAGACTATCCACATCTGGAGATCTATCTTAACTAAATGCCTGATCCGTTACGGTGTTGTAACTTAATAGAAGCTATTTGAGAGGAAGCATGGTGTATGAGATTTTGTAAGTTATTTGTACTGGTTCCGTATGTTGTGCCATGTGTGTAAGACAAGAATAAACTGCTGCTTTCATTCATCCCATCCCAAAACAATTATCCCACCAATGTATCTTTTCCAGAGATTTCTGCTGTTGTTTGTATTCATGCTCTACTCTCTCATGCTTCTATCAAAAAACATTTGCCTTGCAAAGTCTTCCTCTTCTTGCAGAGGTAGACGAGACTTGTTCTGCTAAATACTACCTGGGCATATCACGTGTTCTTTATTCATAGCTTCTTGCTGCATACTTACATTTGTCTTGAATTGTACTGTACACTCAGGCTAGAACCTGAGACATGATCCGTGATAGAAAATCTGAGCCCTACATAGGCCCTACAGGGACTGATATACAGAAGTAAACAAGAATGGATTCTAGCATATTAGATGGAAGAAGTAAAATGCAAGTCACATTACTATTGGAATCCTGGTGACAAATCATTTGTTTTCCAGAAGCAAAAATTATCCCTTGGACAATCACTTTTTTCTCTGATGTAAGGAAGTCATGTCAGGCACCAGCTTGTCAGGTGAGTCTGGAAGTTAAGGTAGAAAAGCATTCCTTCAAATGCTATACATAAATACAAACTTTGCTGCTGTGGTCTCTAAGGTTATTGGAGTATTTTACCAGCACAGAACCTAAAGCTAGGAAAGGAAGAAGGCAGTTGCAGCTGGGATATACATTGCCATTTAATGACTCCTGTTGTGAGCCTACAGCTGATTACCTGAAAGGGATTCCTGATCCTTGTCACAGAAATCAATGTATAAAAACTATGACAGGATCCACTAGCCAAATGCATGACACAGAACATCTTCCATGGGTATAAGCTGGTATATTCTCCCTGGCAAATCTTTCCCCCAGGAGAGAGGTATCAAGTGTGAAAGACTGCTCTTTTCCATCCTATGCAGTCACTTCTTTGTTCTTCCCTGCATTGTATGGTTCGCCTCAAACAATGGTGATTCACGTGTCACATTTCAGACCTTCTTCAGGAC